AAAAACCCACAAGGGGGGGGGGGGGGGAGAGACCTCAGACAGAACCAGGATCAGGGAAGGAGGTCATCTGGGTTTGGGGTTTGGTTTTTAATAAATTTCTTCATATTCCTCAATAAGAGAGCCGCACCATCCAAAGTGGGATGTATGCTGTCTCTCCTAATGAGAGCAGGTTTTCCTCAGAAACGTTTCCAATTATCTATGAAGACCACATTGTTTTCTGGACACCATCTGGACAACTAGCAGTTGAATGATGACATGGGACTATTGTCAGGATCATATATTTTTTACATATATCTTTCATTCATAATTAGATAATCGAGTATTATTCTCTGCACCTCTTATTATATTAATCTCACATTATTTCATATTTTGATAATTTGGTGCTATTCTCCTCACTTTCTATTATTATCTTAATCTCACATTATTATCTTAAGGCATAATCAACACAATTGATAAACGACTGCAGCTTGAGAAAGCGTAAGTGGAGACAGGATTTGGTGGTTTGTGTATTTCTCTGTCACAAGCAGGTATCTGCAGGAGGGAGAAACTGAGGGTGCAGAGCGGCAAGTCCCTGCACCTATGAGATGGTGAAAGAAGGCTCAAGGACACGGAGGGGCCAATCAGCTGGCTGCAACACATTCTGTGCACATTCTCATGTAATAGTATAAGTACACCGGATCAGGGAGAGGCAGTCAGACTTCGTGCCCTGACATTAACTTTGGTGGTGCTAGGGTGAGAAGTTTGATCCAGAGCTCTGTATGCTTATTCAACTGTCTGATAAAAAAATACATTGAGTGAGACCTAAATACCTTCTCCTATTGCTTCATTAAACGAATGCGCAGGAGCTACCTCACACATAGTGTAATTTCTGGTAGATTGAGATTCAGCTCCAAAACTATACATGTCATCACTGATCACACTGGGCAGAGGGCCACAGAAGTCCAACATAGTTCTGGCAAATTTGCACACCGATTCAACCTTAAAAACGTGACAGCATAGTGCGCCGCTGTAGCTCTCATGGTTTAGCTGGTGTCTGGTGTCCCATGTGCAGGGCTACAGTCCCGATGTAGAGGTCATGAGTTCGAATCCCGCTCATGGCCCTTTCCCTGGCCTAAATAAACTCTAAATCAACATATAAAGCCTGTATTTGCAGCATAGTAATTAATT